CTGTTAGAATTCTAAATTCAACTGACTCTCAGGGATGATTGCTGATTGGCTGCTATGAATGCATTGTGATGTTAGAATTACAAGAGGTGACAGTTGATTGCTGAATGACTTTTAGAATTCTAAATTCAACTGACTCTCAGGGATGATTGCTGATTGGCTGCTATGAATGCATTGTGAATTTAGAATTACAAGAAGTAACAGTTGATTGATGAATGACTTTTAGAATTCAAAATTCATCTGACTCTCGGGGTGATTGCTGATTGGCTGTTAGAAGTATTGTGATGTCACTGACTTTTAAAAGCAGGTGTTTTGAAGGACTTCTCTGAAGTTGGAGAACACTCTTTGCTTTATCTTAAGAATTGGATTGCGATATTGGATTGCGTATTTCATACCCGATCTTTAGCTTATTAATTGCGTTATTGATTCTACACATTCAGGCAACATTTCTACATGTTTCTATATTATCCTTATACATCTACAGTGTTCTATAACCCGCCATTGTAAACAGTGTTTTAGTAAGGTTTCAGAATCCTCATGGTTGCACCAAAGTCACACAGCAGCGCACCAGGATAAGGAGACCTGTTTTCAAAAATGTGATCGTTATTTTCAGCTAAGATCTGAGATTTGGAAATAAGAGTCACATGACTAAAAGAATAATCCTTATTCTTGTGTTTAAGATTTGTTAACGGAGTATTTTGTATCACACATCATTTGACCCGATATTTTTTATTGGATTACGCTTGTCTGAATTGTAAATATCTGTTCCCCACATGATACCATTCTGGGTAAAGACATGGGCCGCTTTTCTACTGCGCAGAAAGCAGGCGCATACATATTGGTGAAAAGCTGAAATTTCATAAGCTCCTGGTTTATCTAAAAATCCATTTTTATTCAAAACCACAAAACATTTTTCTTTAACATGGTGTAAAGTATGATTAATAATCATGTCTGTCTTCTCTCCACAGAATGTATATACAAGTGATAGTTGTGTTAGTGCTGCTGTGCTCACAAATGGCAGTCATTCCGAATGTGCAGATTACATCCAAGAATGTCACCACTAGGATGATTTAAAGGGCAGAGGAGGTGGAGAAAATGGAGGTTGATCCTGAGACAACGTTTAATAACATTGATACTTCACCTCCAGACCCACTCCTCATAATCACCATGCTGCCACCACTAGAACCGACCCTGACATGCACCCTGCTGGAAACACCGGAACCAGCCCTGACATGCAGCCTGCTGGAAACCCCGGAACCAGCCCTGACATACCATCTGCTGGAAACACCGGAACCAGCCCTGACACAGACCCTGCTGGTACCACCAGAACCAGCCCTGACATGCACCCTGCTGGAAACACCATAGCCAGCCCTGACATGCAGCCTGCTGGAAACACCAGAACCAGCCCTGATGTAGCGCCCTCTAAAATGTCGCTATTCAATTTAGAGATACCTGGACTGTAACCAGTCTAGATACTGATTATACAGAGCTCTGCATTCTATAGGTGTCCCTGAGTCTGCTGGATTGATTGCTCCTCCTGTTGCTGAGGAAAAGGGAGCCTTGGCATACAGTGAGGGAGGATCCACCCTCAGGTTATGACTATGCACCTGGCCCTAGCCAATCCCTGAGTAGGATGACTCAGAGGCATGGTTGAGGGCAGGTGATAAAAGGTCTGGGGACATTGTGGAGAGCTCTCTCTTCCCCTAGGGGCCTCGCCCTAGGAGGACTGTGTGTGATGCAGGAAACTGGCCTGGGCCTCAGCACATGGCAGGTGCTGAGGGACCTAGAGGCCTAGGATACACTGATACTTTGCTGGGCCCATACACGTGGCAGGTGATGGGTGCCTTGTTCTAAGAAGATACTACTACTAAACTGGAGTGCTCCTTGGCAGTTGCAGATGCTGAGGGCACAGAGATTCCAGATCCTGTTGCTACGGAAAAATACCTCACTGGGCCCATACACGTGGCAGGTGTTGGGTGCCTTGTTCTAAGAAGATACTCTCATTTAACTGGAGTGCTCCTTGGCAGTTGCAGATGCTGAGGGCACAGAAGTTCCAGATCCTAAAGAGGAAAATACCTGATGGAAGCTGGGTCGGGGAGGAGTCCGCTTGTTGAGGGGTACCGCAGAGGAGCTGGTGCGAGCGTCCGTCTGGGACCCACAAGGGAGATCCCACACCCTATTCCAGGTATCTGTTCACAGTACTACTACTACTACTACTATTGGTCCCTGGGACCAGATCGCAGTGATTTCGGCCTTAGCGGTTGCTAGGGGAGAAAGCTGTCCTCAGAAGTATTTCCAAATGGCATCCTACAGATGCTAAACCCTCTCTCTCCTATTGATGTTGCAAATAAATACCCTAAAAGACCCTAAGACTCGAGCCGTTCTGTCCGTGAGTGTCGGTGTGCTGTTGCTGATTAAAGGGGAATGGCAGCTGGAACCAACAGGTAGGAGAACCTATTTCAATATTCAGCGGCTCCTTCGGGGGTGAGCGCTACACTGACATGCAGCCTGCTGGAAACACTGGAACCAGCCTTGACACAGACCCTGCTGGCACCGCCAAAACCAGCCCTGACATATACCCTGACATATACCCTCCTGGCACCACCACAACCAGCTCTGCTTGGCATGTTTGCCATCATTTTATTATTCATCAAGCTGGTTAACATCTTTCACATCACAATTAATTTTGGCTGGACCAAGCGTCGTACAAGGAAAAGGGCCTCACGCAAGCGAGGTAAGTAATTTTAGGCCTACATTTTTTTTTTCTATATGTATAGCTATGTCCATACAGTTCCAGTTCTGAACATTTATTCTCATGTCCTATTTTATCCTGCAGGAAAGAAAATGTTTTCCTCCAACACAGCAGAACCGTCAAATCAAGGTTTTCAACCAATACCAGCAGCTCCTCTTTCTGCACTGCCAGCTGTACAACAGAAGAGCACTATAACAGTACTCCTGGAGGACAGTGCCATCGTTTCTGTTGTACAAAAGAGTGACAGTCTTAGCATTATGATGGAACTGGACAAGTCCATTGTCGATATTGGGCCAGTTAGCACATGCATTGACAAAATGATGGCTGAAGATAGCGCTATCATATCAGTGTACCCACATGAGCTGTGCCAGTACTTCACCTCTGGAGAAGAGGTGCTCACCAATGGCCGAGGACAGTTCCATCATTGCAGTTCTCCCAAAGAAATGCACCAAAAGCTTCCATCTAGAGCTCCCAGGGGCCTGTGTCAACTCGATTGTCTATACTAATAAAAATGCATAAAATACTTCCATGCACCCTAGGCAGTGTTGACTGACCACAGAGAAAAAGATCTATGCACATGTGCAAATGCAGGCTTATCCAATCTGGGTAAAACTGGCCAGAGATCACTGTCACCTTATCTTTATGGACCTCCAGCACTATCACATGATAGTGCTGGAGGTCCATAAAGATAAGGTGAGAAGAACCAGGTGTTTCCTTCTTTCCTGGTGGCTGAACAGAGTGGCCAGGGAAATAAAGGAATGATGAACAGGCTTCTTGGGAGGGAGGAAGGAAATGGTGCTTTGCCTTGTATAGTTATAAGGACTAAGAACAAATAATAGCTTATTTGGAGTGGAAAGGTGACACTAGGAGTCTAATTTTGTACCTATCACCACTAGTATGCTATTACATAGGGGGCTTGTAAGACCCCCTATGTGATAACGATTAAGTAACGAGCGTGCGTGTATTAATGTAAACACGCGTCGGATGCACCTACATGCAATTTTTTACCTAAGAATGTTGGGTATCTGTTTACTCATCATAACCTCATCTTTTACAAAGAAATGTTGGAAATACACCAGCATATAATGTAACTATGTCTTTTGAGCACTAGATGGCGGTGTAGTGCAGTGTTAGTCTCTATGCTTATGCATGTTTTGTCTATGATTTATACAGGAAGTTCTGTATATATGTTTTTCTGTATATGATGTACAATGTATTTTGAAGTAATGTCCTTCTAAATACCTAAAACTTAATTCAGCATTCCTCATGATCTCAGTGCTACCTCTAAACACATAACCAACAAAAAAAAATGGGTATTGTGTTTTTGGGCACTAAAATTTTACTACATTTCTGGGTTCGATAAAGAGTTGTGCTAATATTGTGCGACATATACATTTGCAACTGCCGCCGTTTTGTTCTACAGGGTATTTGCTTTCAGAAAATATATAATATTTGGTGGTTTTAAGTAATTTTCAGGCCTAAAATGTGGATGATAACATGTGTGCAAAAAGACAAAAAAAGGCATTGGCAGCAAAAGGGTTAAAGCTGAATCCAAAAGTACCTTTGGCCTTCTCTAGTGCCATGTCAAGACATACTGTATGCTCTTCTAAGCCACATTAATGGAATACCCTCTGTAATCACAGATCTTTGGGTGCACACAAGAAGTAATAAATAACTATATCCTGTGACGCAATCCCACTTTACATATGATTACATTTTAATTTGATTATGTTTTATGCTGATATAAGGGCTTGTTCACACCAAATCCGGACCAAATCAGTGCAGTGTGTTTTGCCGCATTCCGGGCCGGTAAAAAAAACCAAAAAAATTTTATTTATCTTTTTTTAGCCTAAAATGGGCTTTCAGTGCGTTTCAGAGCGTTTGCATCCATTTTTGATGCATTTGAATGCGTTTGGTGCGTTCCAGAGCAGAGAAAATAGGGCATGCTGCAGTTTTTCTACATGCTCTGGAATTAAACGCTCTGCTGTGAACTAGAATACAAAATACTATTGGAATACATTGGATGCAGTTTTGATGCGTTCTGTAACTGCTCTGCTCCTGCTCCGCACTTGGTGTGAACAAGCCCTATGAAGAAATAAAGCAAAGGGATGGCTGCTTTTATTATAATGGTCTAGGCCCAGAATTATGTAGTCTTTCCCCAAATCTGAACACACACATCTAAGAGTATGCATTTCTTTGTCATTTTACTTTGACCACCCCACTCAGATAAACTGCAAACAACACAACTTACTGGTGCGTCCTTTTGGCTGGTCCCCTCAGTCTTGTCATAGTTGTATGAAAATTGAGAAGAAGGCTTGGAAAGGGTAATAGCCTCTGAAGAGAGTGTAGAAGAGCTTCCATATCCATTAGATGAGCCTCTTTTCTTTCCATATATATCAGTGGACTCTCTAGTGTTGGAAACATAGGAAATTCGGGAGTGTCCATCGGCTTCCAAATGTGACCGTGTTTTTGTTGGGCTATGGGGGTAGTAAGTGTCTGAGGTTCGTAGTTCAGAGAGTCCAAGGGACAGGTCTGTATGACTGTATGACTTTTTGCGTGATAGAGAGGTGCTGGTGTAAGTTGGAAGAGTGCTATTGTATCCATAGGAATAGCCGTTTGTAAGGTATTTAGATGAAGAGCGTGATAGAAAATCTGTCCTTTTAGTAGTTGGATCCAGGCAGGGAAGACTTCGATCTAGATCATGGTAGGAACGCAAGTGAGAGCTGGGGTAGTATGAACTACTCAAACTGGACTTAAAAGGCGAGTTATTGCGATCGCTGTAAGAAGAGCTGAGGCCTGAGGTGTAGGAGCCGTAGCCAACATAACTCTTAGAGTAAGAAGGGTCTATATATCTTTTGTAGGTAGATGAAGAATGCGACATCCTGGAAATGAGTAGGTACAGGAGGGGACTCTGGCTTGGACTGTGGGAAGACAAAATCAGCATGTTAGGGAAAGTACTGAAAAATTCTAACTTTTAAAAAGGTATTTGACATTTTTATGTGTACAGAAGAAAAGGAGCATTAGAATGCCTACACTAAAATCTGTGAATTGGTTTATAGCCAAACAGAACTTTCAGTGTGAATCAGCAAAATACATTCCATCAAAATAAAAGTTGAGCAAAGTCTTACACTTGTTGTCTTTTAGAAAGCAGCCAGTGCAGTTGAAAAGCCTGTCCGTTGGCAGCATGCTGTAAAGAAGGACCCTTGTTCTCTTTGTGGAAGCAATGGCCTCTACTGGGCTTTGACACACACCCTGTTAAGCTATAGCTAGAGCTCTTCAGGCAACAGGGAGCATGGACGTTGCTGATGCAGAGCTGTAAGTCTTTTTTTATAGGTTGCTATTGCTGCTGTATTTTATTTTTCAAGGGTTGTATTGGTTTGCTGATTTAAAATCTGGCACCTGGGCAGCATATACACTATATGCATATGGCTTGTTCTACACGTGATCACTTTCCGGTACTAATGCCCAATAATGAATGCACTTTCTCTTCTCATAACTCTAAACATATTGCTACACATGTAACAATTATTTGTGCTATAAGTCCTTTTCTTTCTACTTTTGTATTCACTAGCAATATTTTTCCCAGGTTATAACTCTGACAAGACATTAAAGGAATGTTTTAGTGAGGGAAACATGGATGCTTCCACTGCTGCCTTCCTTCTTATCTTTCAAAGTATTTTTATTAATTTTTGCAGAATAGAATAAAACAATAAGATAGCACATGATGCACAAACAGTATTGCATACAATTGCGTTTCAGAGTCTTCCACATTAGCATAATCAGGTAGTAAGAGGGGATCACTAGAAACCATGCACACAATGCATAATAATTCTGTGAAACAGAATATATCTATTTACCTATTTTTGCCAAATTATCCCCCATCAGCAAAAACAAAATCAAGACAGTCTGAGAGCAATATCAGGCATAGGGATCCACCTGTGTCTGACGCAAACATTTGTTATGATCTCCTCCATATCTATTTAGATAGAAGACTTTCCGTCCAACATAAATGTACTAAACAGCTCACATGTGTGAGCCTAAAGAAGGAAGAAACAGACAAAAAGAAGAGGAAAAGGAAAAAGATACTAAAAGAAGCAGAACAGCTTAAGAGTCCGAAAAGAGTAGATCCGTCCCCGACCAAATAGCCCAACATTTACTTAAACATTAAACATAGTACCCAGAGAAACAAAAAACAGAAAGATTGTACAATGGAAATTACCCGGTTTCCAGCACCCCTGTATATAACATCCAGGGGGTCCAGGTCAATTCAACGCATTTTTTATATCTTGGAGGATGCTGTGAAGTTTCTCATGGACCATAATCCACGACATTTTTTGTTTGACCAAGTGGAATGGAATTGTTGGCAATTTCCAAACCCTAGCTATGGTTATTTTGGCAGCCAATAAAAAGAAAGTAACTCATTTATCCAAAGCTTTAGACAGTCCTGGAATCGGGCAATTCAGCAACACATATTGGGGATCTCGTGGGATCCTCACCCCAGTAATCCTAAATATTAGAGCATAAAGCCGGTTCCAAAAGGGTCTCAATTTAGGGCATTCCCACCATATGTGATACACCGTGCCCGGGTGAACACATCCCCGAAAACAATGAGGAGAAACCTCTGTGTATATTCTCGCTAGTCTGGCAGGAACCATATACCACCTAGATAAAACCTTATAATTAGCTTCTATCAGTGAAATATTAATGCTGCCTTCCTTCTTAAAGTGCCAGTTGTCTGTCAGTCTGTGGCTTCGGTCACTGGAGTCACTGATCTGGAATGGGTATGCAGCAAATGAACATTGAACAACTTGTTACAAGGTTGCTGACTCAAAAGTCATTGGCTTGAAGGAGAATTATGAGGCGAGTGATTTTCACTCAGCCTCATAATCTGAGCCGACCTGTGACAATGAAACTGTCACAGGTCGGCTCAGTAGATCGGGAAGTGAGCGAACACATACCGTCGCTCGCTCACTTCTCGATCTATCCGTGCAGAGAGCCGTGACTGTCACTCACGGCTCCCTGAAGGGATTCCCCCCCCTTCCCCTATCCGATCCTCCAGCGCTGACTGGTGGAACGGACGGGGGAGGGAACAGCTGGCTCTGCCTCTAGATAGGCAGAGCCAGCTGTCACTCATGCAGCTGGGTGGATCCAGACAGCATTGTCGGGATCCGTTCCGGCATCTCAGTATACCACGAGCTGTAGCTTGCGGTATATTGAGCTTTGGGTGATGGGAGGACGCTAGTTTGTGTCCTCCCGTTACCCTTAGGAGAACTATGGGGAAAAGCACTGACCCCATAGTTCTCGTTTAAGACGACAGTTCGGCAACTGGTATTTTCAAGAGAAGTCAGCTAGGCCATATTTCTAATCTTATTGAGCGTGTAATTATTACTCCACAATGCATCCTGTTTCAGTTACACTCACAATTTTTGATTTTCCATGACTTTCAGTCACTATGGCATTTAAATTGGGTAAATCTTCCCAATTGGAACACAGACGGCAATAAAAACCTGACAAAGGTTTTAATCTTTTTCCACTGTATCCAAAACTATAACATGTTTTGGGTTTACATACAGTTTAAGTGGTTCTTTCTAGGGATGGTTGCAGTCTTTGCGCAGATGTGTGCATGTCTGTGTGGACGCTTCACCACCTGCGCACAGGCATAATTCGAATCCTGGCACCTGATGAGCTATTTAGGCTGTGACACCTAGGCCTCCTGTGCTGAGTGATTGTCAGCTAACCTATATTCCTGAGATCCTTCGTTCTGATTGAAACAACACACTACGGTGATATCTCCCAGCACTCATGCCACTTCGAGTGCCTGCGCACCTGTTCTGCCATCAAGGAACCCTGGGACAGGAGCTGCAATGGAGGCCGCCCTCGTCAACTCAGGCTCCACCAAGGTATGAGATACAAGGGCTGTGTTACATGTTGTTGCCTTTTCTGGCTGAAATGCTGCACAGTCTTGCTCACCAGTGAGGTAGAAGCAGTGAAGAGACAACTCACTGGTTCAGCCAGACTGGGGCTCGATGGTATAGGAATCCATGAGTGCTCTCCCTGCTCCCTAGCCTAGTCTAACATAGTCTAGTCTCTACTTTACAAATTTTGTGATTAACAATCAGTGAGTTCTTTCAACTGCTCTTCTAATTTTTCACCTGTTATTTCATTTCGATCTAAGAAACTGAATAATGAAATACGCTCTTTTCTAAATAAAAGTGATAACTCACAATATGAAGTAATTAATTAGTTGGGACAATAGAAATAGTGGGAGAGTTGAATTATACTGAAATTGACTGGTATAATTGTACTTCTGATATAACGAAAAAGATTAAAAAGGTTATTCACAAAGCTGCCGAAGGCAGCTGAGTGAATAACCAACCCAAAGTGAAGTGAGCCGAACGCTGTCCAGCTATTCACTTCTGGCTTTTACGGCTGATTTCAGCTGTACATTGGCTGAAATGAGCCGTACATCGGCTTGCTTCGGGTGGCTTCGGTTTGGCTGAACATGCTCAGCATGTTCGGCTGAGTCGAAGTGCAGAAGGAGTTCGACTCAGCCGATCCAACATCTGGATCGGCTGAGCCGAACCTCCGGCAGGTTTCCTATGGGTTGAGACCTGCTAGAGCAGGGGTGGCAAACTCAAATTCATCGGGGGCCGCATCAGCAGTATGGTTACCCTCAAAGGGCCGGTTGTATAGGACTATGCATCTACTCACATGTGCCCATCTCTGCACCTCTGGATGATGACTATACATCCTTATCACACGTTTATATTCCACGCCTGGTGCTGCTGCACATTCCTACACAGCATACACCTTCCACCAACCATCACTGCAACTTCCAGCACCATGCACTCCGCTTCCCCCGCAACTGCCCCACACATACACGCAGCCACTTACCCAGCCGAATCCCCTGCCGGACCCCGGGTCACTCCCTCTCCATCCCCTGCTGCCTCTCCGCCCGAAGCGCTGCCCGACCCCCGGCCCACAATCTGCGCATGCGCGGTAGATGAGGAGGTGGGGGAGAGAACACTACCGCCACGGCAATTGCTCGCTCGCTTCTGTTCTCCTTCTCGTGCTCGGCCGCTCTGTAGCTGCAGCAGGCGAGAAAGAGAAGAGAAAACAGAAGCAAGCGAGCGCTTGCCGCGGCGGTAGTGTTCCATCTCTAGTCCTGCCGGCGAGGCACCATTGCTGACATTCCACTCGCCCCCCCGCAATTTTCACTCGCCAATTGCGAGGGGGCGAGTGGAAATTTTGAGGCCTGACATAGGGCCATGAGACAGGGCGGAGGCGGAGACGGTGCAAAATGAGGTGGCTGCTGTGCGGGCCACATTACAAGGTCCGGCGGGCCGGATTCGGCCCGCGGGCCTTGTGTTTGCCACCCCTGTGCTAGAGTCTTCTAGCAGGTCCCGGCCAATGAATAACAACTGGGTGGAGCCGGCCATGACGTCACAGCTGGCTTCCCCAAGTTGCCATTGTTTAATGACAGTTCAGCGTCAAGGAAACCTGGGGACGCTGATCTGTCATTGCAACTAGGCGGAGCCAGCCGTGAGATCACAGCTGGCTCCGCCAATGGCTGGCCGCTTGCCGTTGCTTCGGGTTTCACTTCGGCTCAGTCAAGCCGAGGTATATGACTTCGGCTCAGCCAGTTTCGGGAGCTGTACGGGCTATAGTGAATAGCCCGTACAGCAGCCCTTCGGTTGTACTGAACCGAAGGGATTCGGCGGCTGAAGCTAGCCGAAGGATGAACCGCAGCTACGGCTGATCCTTCGGCTAGCTTTGTGAATAACCCTCTAAATGTATGAACTCATTGCAGGACAATTTAGGAATGCTTTTAGAAGCCCTAACTAAAAATCATACTCATCTGAACCTGTTAACCTTAAACAATGGAGAACTTATTACAAAGGTTCATGTAAAGGAAAATCTAGGTAACAGTGACCACAACATGTTTTCATGTAACTTAAGCTGCAAAAGACAAATACAAGCTGTAAACCCCAAACACTCAATTTACCTAATTTCCCATCGCTGAAAGCCACTCACAAAAGACTGGGAGGAAATATCATCAACTAAATATACAGAACCTGCTTTATATTTCAAATGGAATCAAGGTATTTTCTCAGTATTTACAGATGTGCAGTTTGACATTCTATTGTAGGAAAGATTTTTGAGGTATTGGTAAGGGACCCCAATACCCCAATAATAAGTGAGGAATAAGTAGAAATGTGGATATAGGGGTGGCTGTGTATGTTTTATATGTGGACTACAAAATGTTTTTTTTACAGTTCCTTACAGACAGTAATTAGGTATTTATATGGATAGAAGAGTGTCCTAAATATTGTATTTAAAGAGACGTGAACAATTCCTACTCTGAAAATTAATTAACACTGAACTCCAATCAAACAGCTAAATACACAGATGAGACCTCATTTTTTTCTACTGCAGTTCATTAAGAATTCCAGGTCTCCACTCCACCCCCAGCTTGGACTGGAGAGTGATGTAAAAGTAGCAGGCTAATGATCTCTCTGTCACTCTAATTTTTCCTATCAGTATGTTCCTTGTTAGCACATAAACCCCCTTTTACACTGTCTGATCAGGAGGGGATCTGTGCACTGATCCCCTCCTGATGGGAACGGATGTCACCTTTGTGAAATCTGTGTCCATGCAGTTTTTTTTCTCCATCTTACGATGGAGGAAAAAACTGACATTACCAGACCCATGTTAGTGTTTGGACAGCCATTCCTAAATAGATGGGTGTCCGTTTACATCCAGTTACCCCCGATCTGGCATGATCAGGTCCAGAGAAATGGAACTAACCGTAGCCAGGGATAACCAGATGTAAACAGATGCTCAACAAAGGGCCTGACGGAGGGACCCCTGCACAGTCCCAAAACGTTGCAAATCATTTTTATGCTGCAAGAACATTAGTAAAGATAAGACTTTGAAGCTAAAAAGATGTTCGGACAAAATATCTTGAACTTTTACGAGCAACCTGTCTCCCCAAAGCTCTTCCTTTTGCTGCCCAACCAGTTGCAGCTCTCTGACATCTTCTAGTGCTATGCAGGACCAGCAGTCCTGCATTGTATGGAAGGGTGCTGAAGGCCTGTTCCAACGTGGATCATCGGACAGTGAAGAGGTTGCTGAAAAACATTAACTCTTGCAGGGGGTCCCCCTCCCACTGTAAGGGTTAACTGCTTGTTTTGACTAGGGCATGATGAATCAGATGATATACTTACCTTATTCCTCGCTCCATCAGACTTCCTCCTCTTCATGCGACTAGTCCCCCAATGGACTTTATCCTTCCATACAATGTAGGCCCAGCAGTCCTGCACTATACAAGAGGCCACTGAGGCCTGCAACACAAAGTGTTGAACAGCAGAAGAGAGTGCCGAGTCACAGGCAGCATAAGATAAGGTAAGTATATCACCTTATTCTTTATCTGGTTGTCAACTTACAAGGTAATAAGGGGCCTCTAAATCAGCCCCCGATATGTCCAAAGTGCCACCTATAATATTTATTATATGTAATGCTACAGAAGATAGGCATAGACTCAAGATTACTAAAGGAAATGGTCAGAGACTGTGCTACAGAAGAGGTTGGCGACTGAAGTCATGCTATAGGAGACAGTCAGAGACTAGAGACATATTACATGGAACTGCTAGAGATTTTTATTATTGTTGTTATTATTATAATACAGGATCTAGATAGTACCAACAGTTTGCACAGGACTGTACAATATATATGATTACAATAGAGATCACTGTTATTAAAGGCCCCTTTATAAAATGAATGCTTGCACTACAGAATGCTAGGGCCCTTTGGTCACACTTATAATAGTAAAGGGCCACAAGGGCCACAGGGCTGCAGGTTGTGCACTCAGGCTCTTGGGAAAATGAGCAGTTAACCTTTGCAGTGGGGAGTGGAACCGACTGCAAGAATAATTGTTTTTGTCATTAGAGTTCATTCTTTAAAGATAAATGATTTTAAGCAACACTTACTGTTTACCTTCAAAGAGTTGTACGCCTTTTTTATAATCACATAGCTGCGTTCATTTTCCCTGGAGGTGGGAAATTCCTTTAGTTATAATATTTTCGCCTTTGAGATATTTTCCTCTTCTTATTCTTTGGGGTTTTTCTTGTTTTATAGTCCAAAATGTCATTAAACTTCTCTAGGTTTTAATTACGTTTTGAAATTTTTGTTCTTCACATAAAACTAATCCAGACTCGTTTTTTTACCAGCTTCTATCTCTCTGTGGGGTTGTTGCTTTAACGCTTTCTTCCAGCTCAGCTCATTATTATGTATCATGCATGAGTTCATCTTCTAAATTAGGTTCTTTCGGTTTCTTCCTCCTTCTTTGCTATCATCCATAAAAATGCCTCATATCCTGATCTTTCCTTGTGTTTGATGGGTTGTCGTCTGTTTTCTGTCCTGTCTGTCTCTTTCTCTGTTTTTTCCTCAGCCTGGTTTTTTCTTCTTGCTCCTGTAATAGGAGACGCTGTGTCTCACTCACATGGCTGTTGAGTCCCTGTTACCTTGGGAATGACCCTGATTACAAACACTTTTCATGCAGCTCTTCAGTGAGCTGTACACACAGTGACTTACTAAATTCTACCTTGTGTTTACCAATTGAGCAAGTACAGACCTGTCCTAAAAACAAACAGAGTATTTGTATATTGCATGTAAAACGCGTTTGTTGTAAACAGAAATCATCTTCTTAACTCATTTGGCTACTGTAAGCTGCCATCTGATTGTTTCCCCTGGGTTACTGTTCTCTTCCCAAAGTTCTCGGCGGCGCCTAATTGAACAAGTTCACTCATGCACAATCATTTAATAAACAGTACAAGGGGTCTAGCTGCTTTGTGTTCTAGGATCACTTGTACTCTGTAGCACCCATGATGCCTCATATTACAGGCCATTTGTGGCTACGCTTATTCTTTGCTTCTAGAGGCTTCTTCCTTGTCATGTAACCAGTTCCCCAAAGGCTCTTCCTTTTGCTGCCCAAATGTTCTAAGTTTTCTGACGTCATCCGGTGCAGTGCAGGACTGTGCATTGTATGGGAGGACGCTGACTTCTGCTCCAACCCAGAGCATTGGACATCGTAGAGGGAATAAAGTAAGTAAGAATACTTTCATCGTAATATGAAATCATCTCTTCTTAACTTATTTTGCTACAGTAAGCTGCTATCTGATTGTTTCCTTTGGGTTTTTGTTCTCTTCCTAAAGTTCTCGGCAGTGCTGTGTTGAACAAATTCCCTCATACGGTGCAATGCAGGGCCAGCAGTTGGGAGAGCATCACCTGTGCATCACCTGTGCACAGCCATCTTCAGGTCACCCCACCAATTTTCAATTGTATTCAGGTCTTTTGTTGATTTGGAGGTACGCTTTGGGTTATTGTCAGGCTAGAAATTCCTCTTTATCTTCAGCTTTTTAGCATAGGCCTAAAGGTTTTGTGCCAAAGTTGACTGATATTTGTTACTGTTCATAAGTCCCAGTGTTGTTTTCGTGCTGAACATACTCTTTTGGAATTTTGGTCTCATCAGACCATATCACATTTTCCCACATGCTTTTGTCAGACTTGATGAAGGTTTTTGCAAAATATAGCTGGTATGCTTTTCTTAGTAAGAAAAGGCTTCTGTCTTGCCACCCTACCCCGGAACCCAGACATATGAAGAATATGGGAGATTGTTGTCACATGAATTACACAACCAGTACTTGCTGTAAATTCCTGCAGCTCCTTTAATGTTGCTGTAGGCCCCTTGGCTGGACCAGTTTTCTTGCTTTTTCATCAATTTTAGAGGCATGTCGAGTTCTTGGTAATGTCACTGTTGTGCCATATTTCCTCCACTTGTTGGTGACCATGTTCCTTGGTATATCTAATGCCGTGGAATTTTCTTTTGCACCCTTCCTCCTGACTGATATCTTTCAACAATGAGATCCTTTTGATGCTTTGCGGACCATGGCTTTTGCTCTAAGAGGCAACTGAGTAAATGTCAGAAAAATCTGACTAGAACAACTGAACTTTATATGGGCTTATTCAGTCCCTTTAATTGATGGCAAGTGTGTACTGACTACCATTTATCATAAGTTTGAATGTGATTGGTTAATTATTTAACTTATTATAAGAGGGTATGTACACTTATGCAGCCATATTATTTTTATTTATTTAGGTCATATTAAAGGTGGGTCTGATTTTTTTACATCACACAAACCTGGCATTTTTATAGGTGTGTGTAGCCTTTTTATATCCATGCTTACTGCAGTGTGTCCCCTCTCCCCACTGCAAGGATTAACTGATCGTTTTGCTTAGGAGATGACGATGAATGAGGTGATTTACTTACATCACCTGATTCATCTTTAATAATCTGTACAAGGGGTCTAGTTGCTTTGTATACTAGGAACACTTGTACTCAGTAGTACCCATGGTACCTCATATTAGAACTAACTTTGTTGCTAGGTTTACTAATTCCAGTGCACACTTTAATACTCATAGTAACCATCTGCATTCTATCTACTGGTTTGTGCTGAGTAAAATAAATGTAGGTTTATTGTTATAGCTTAGTGTACTTTGCACCTGTTAGTTTTCCCTTATACTTTTTATTGCATAAGTCCACTGGTGTATGATTATGAGATATTGACGGTTTAAATGCCTTTAAACCTGCATAGTATCAAAAACCAAAAGCACACCCCACATATGGAGCTGCACAGTTCAGATAGTCAAAATGATATTCTTATTAGTAACAAACCAAATACAAATATACAAACGTAATTACCACGCTAACCCATAAAAACACTTAAAATCTTCTCTTAGAAAGTATCAGCACAGAACTATGTCAGCAGGTGTAAAGATTGTTTAGCTGTGTATGGTGTAAGACCCATATACTGTAAAGAGTGTCTAACGAGCCAAAGAGTTTATATTGATTTTCCATTATTGTTTCAAAATCTGTATCTGTAGCATACAGCAGCAAAAATAAAGCAATATAAAGCCAGGGGATCAGGCCCAATCTCGAGCAGATCCATGGACTTCAAACTTTAAAGGATGGTAGCTTATTCCAAAAAACACTCAGTAAAATATAAGGTCTTAAGCAGATAAGGGATGTGGGGTTACGTCCCTTACATTGTTACTAATAATAGGCCTATAAAAACTGTCTTGAGATTTATGAAGCTATGTAGAATAGCCCTTGTTCAACATTTAGCATAAAGCAACTGGCTCAGTATGTTTTAGGGTCCATATAGACAGGCATTTTTTTCCTCCATTTGACATGCGTTTGAGTAGTGTAGAGGTCTTTGTTTGACCTGCTTTGCATTGTGTTTCTTCAGATGCAGCATGTAATATTGAATTGTATGCAAAACAGGTCAAACACAACATTTTCTTGCTAAACATTGCTGCTTTCACATGGAAAAGCCTGCAGTTGCCAGGAACGCCTTTCTAAATGAGCCCTTGTTCTGGTCCTGATTTCAATAACCAAGCAACATGAATTTTCAGCCTACAGGCTTCATTTGTCAGCTTTCCTTTTAACTCAACATGGACATGCGAATCATCTACATACAAATGTCAAGTTTAGATATTGCAGCCAAGACATGCAGGTTTTATGAGGCTGCCCTATGCCACAGGTGATGTTTAGTCCACATATGTATCTTGCCAAGGTCTTTTGGTGGCTGCTAGGGATGAGGCTCTCACCACTACTTTGGGTTCCCAGTAAATCCTGTGGGTTTGAGAATAGCGGTTCCAGTGGATTTATTTGTAAATTCCCCACAACCACAATTCACTGCACGGCCAGCAGGCTTAGAAGTGCTAATAAGGTGGCTTTTGGATAAACCAACCCCCTCAGTATAAACTGGAAGGCGGGGCATGGAGCAGCAAGCTTGCAAACTATATAGGGTTAGAGAGATTATAGTCAGTTTGGAAACTGTGATTTACTTCTCATTGCTAGCTCTTGGGGTAATCACCCCCCTTGCTGCCTTCTTTTTTTGTTGTCATTTTAATTTGTGGCTTGAAGACATTGATCACTTTAAGCTGCTGCCCCGTCCATAACACACTGTTTTTTTTTCTGCTGTAGGGTTTCCTTAAAAGCAGTAGACTTTTGTTTCAGGCAGTGATATTTTGGAGCTTTTATTTCTCTTGGTACTATATTGTTTTTTACTTTTATATAGATAGGGCCTTTTTTTAAGGTATGGGGTGCAGAATTTGCTTGTTTCTGCCCCCCCCCCCCTCCAAAAAAAAAAAAGGATGTTTTCTTCCCTGATCTTTGTGATCCTCCAGCTTGGTGCACAGAAATGCAAGTTAGTTGCCCATCAAACTGCACATAATAAAGTCTAGCTCTCCAAGTTAGGATCACAGGTCACCCACTCACTTTCTTTTGGTCAGCAACAAGCAAATGTTGCATTGCTGCATTCTTTGAAATGATAAAAGGGCAAAACAGTATGTACCTATATCACCTCATATTATATTACTCATATACACCGATATACGCCCATAGTAAAAATGAAAGTTAGTCATAAAGTGGTTAGGATTATTATCCCTACATAAAACTGTACTGCTGCTGGTCAATTTTACTCTGCTTTATCATCCGCAATCTCCTAATTGTTCACTGTAGATACATGCCTGTTTTCCATGTCTCTAGTACATTTGGGCCCAGTCTTACTCATTAAAAATCCCCTGCTGATGGCCAATTTTACACTGTTGTATTATGTGTCATGTCTTAATTCTTGTGGACAAACACCAGCCTGTACTCTATGTCTATATTACATTTGTGCCAAGCCTAACTCATTACAATCGTCCTGCAGCTGGCTAATTTTTCACTGTTGTATCTTTTGTGGACCTTTTATTTGGAATGAGAGGTTTCATAGAAATTAGACAACAGCATGACGTGAACTGCTGGACAATTTCTGTCTGCCATTTGAAGCAGGCCTACTTGATGAAAAAGAATGCGTCACTGCTAAAGCTACTTAAAAAGTTTTATTTTTACGTTCACAAGAATCAGGGTTGTTGTCCTGTTGCTGTATATAAGCCAAGCTATTTGTAATAGAAACATTCCACAGCCAATATTTGTGCTGCCAAAG